ACTCTAGGGTTGTGCGCCCATCTCACTCAAGAGGCCGGGGGCCAGCGCTGTCTGGAGACACTTCCGGGTCACGTGGCCAGCGTGACATCGTTGCTCTGGCGAGCCAGAGCCGCACACGGAAACGCTGTTTACCTTCCCGCTAGTAAGCGGTCCCTATTTATCTACTTGCACCCGGGAGTGCTTTCGAACTGCTAGGTTGGCAGGCGCTGGGACCGAACAACGGGAGCGCACCCCGCCGCGGGGATTCGAACCGCCGACCTTTCGATCGGCAAGCCCTAGGCGCTGAGGCTTTTACCCACAGCGCCACCCGCGTCCCTGCCACAACAGGTTAGCAGAATCCATTTTGTCAGAAATCATTAAGACTGCAGCCAGTGCTTTTTCTGGGGGTACTCAAGGATATGCAGTACTAGCACCTCCCCTCCTCCATGTTGAAAGTGTGGCACTTACTATAACAGCTTCATTGTGCATACAGGGACATACTTTTTTCTAAACAAAAAAAAATCACTGACTGCAGCCATCTCAAAATGCACACAATGAAGGAAAATTAGACATTGATGTGATGTTTTCTGGGAATTTCCATATTACTGGGGATAAAGCCTTCAAAAGTTAAAATAAATGTCATGGGGGACAAAACACATGGCATATAATGTGGATTCTATCCTTGGTGGCTTACGAATACATATGAGCAGAAGCCTGTGATGTGTGCTGTTAACCATCAATACTTTCTGTGACATTCTTTACAAAGAGTTATTGAGCTTTGTTTCCCACTGCAACAGCAATGGAGCTGTAGGAGGGTACGTGTAAAACAAGACGGTTTTATTTCTAGAACAGTTTGATGGGCTGGATCAATAGTCAGGAATTGCAAGCATCTTAACTGTCTTGCATGCAAAAGCCAAACAATGCCATCAGAAGCTGACTTGATATCGTTGGTGGAGTGGCTCAGTGGCACTGTTCTTAAAGCATTTTATCCATTTGATGTGCTTACAAAGGAGATTATTTTGTGGCCCTATTTTGAACTGGAAAACCAGTGTAAAGCACAAAGGGATGATCCAATACATTGCAGGACACTGTGGAATTTGAATGGCTTATATTTGCCTCAAAACAATCCAGGTTGGAGGGGCTATGCAGACAGGAGCATGCTCAATTTGCAGTAGTTCGTACTGAGTTGTATGGTTTCAGCTGGGAGACTTTGAAGTTTTTCTCTTGCTCCTGGCACTACTACCAGGTATGCTTACCAGGACACATACTTCCTCTGACCCCATTTGGTATGATACTTACGCTGTTCATTAGAGACCATACTGTTTTCAAGTGGACATGCTAGGATTTGAGTATGGGACAAAGCTTGTTCTCTGCTACTGAGCCATGGCCCCTTCTGTTTCAAGATCTTTGTTTTTTCCACTGCATCTTGGTAAAAGTTGGATCTAGTAGAATTAAAATGGATCCTGCTTAATTTACATTTTGGTCTTCAAAAAATTGCAATCTAGAGCCATTTCAGTCAGGGTCAGGCCCAGTTTTGACACAGAACCTGCTTTGGTCGCCTGGTATGGTGACTTCTGTTGGGAGAGAGAGGGGTAATGTGTCCCTGTTAATTCTCTTTGACCTCTCAGCAGCTTTCCATACCATCAGCCATGGTATCCTTCTGGAAGAGCTGTCCAAATTAGGGTTTGGTGGCACTGGTTTGTGGTGGTTCCAGTCCTACTTGAATGGTTGTTTCCAGAGGGTGGTGCTTGGTGAATGCTCTTTGGCCCCATTGAACCATCAATGTGGGGTTCCTCAGAGTTCATTTTTATCCTCCATCTACATAGAACTGCTGAGTGGGGTTATCCAGAGTTTTGGAGTATGCTGCCAGCAATATGTGATGACACACAGGTTTGCTTATCCTTTACATCTGCGGGTGTGGCAGTGGATATGCTGGACCACTGTGGTGCCTCTGGGTTAGATTACTGCAATGGGTTATATGTGGGGCTGCCTCTGAAGATGGTTTGGAAACTTCAGTTACTGCAGAATAAGGCGGCCAGCAAGATAGTTTGAGCATATTACAGTGATCCTGGCCCAACTGCACTGGCTATTAGTTTCCATGCCCAATTCTAAGTATAGGTTTTGACCTATAAAGTATTAAATGGCTCAGGACCGCTATACCTGAAGGACCGCCTCTCCCCATATAAACTGTCCCAGACTCTGCATTCATCATGCCCTTCTTTGTATGCCTCCTCCACAAGGCCCTTCTTTGTATGTCTGGAGGGTGGCAACACAAGAATGGGCCTTTTCTGTGGTGGCTCCCCATATGTGGAATGCTCTGCCCAGAGAGGCTCACCTGATGCCATGTGAAGAGTGGGCTCCACTAGTGGCAATGGCATGTAGAAACAAATATTTGTGAAAATAAAAGAATTATTTGAGCAGCTGTTTAACACAGCACCATGAAATCCACCCAGGCTCTCCTCCCACTGGGTTTTTGGACCTGCTATTTAGTGCCCTTTTTTTTTTCTTTTCTTCAATTCCTTTCAAATTATTTTACTGAAGGAAGTACATACAGGGTCTCCCCCCCCCCCCAAGTAACCAAGTGAGTGCCTCCAGGTTGACAATAATGGAGTCCAAATAGGGCCCTCGAAAACAAAAGAGCAAGCTCCAGTAACCCAAAGTGTGCCAAAGTACGAAAGGTGGCTCTATGATGCAAAACCTCCCAAATGCAGCCCATTGGAACCAAGGAACCACAAAGTGTTTCTGAAAAATTAAAACTGAGTGCAGAGTGTTAATTTGTTTCCTCGTGCCCCTAACAGCAGAAAGGGTGGAGCAGTCCTCCCCACCAGAGAAGAATGGCAAATTAAACCGTTGGACTATGCTGAAATGGCAAGACTGATCGGGAAGCCCAGGAACCAAAAAGACCAAAACTTTAACAAAGAATGGGAAAAAAATATAATTTATCTTGGAGACCGTTGTAAGCAGATGGAAACATTAGCAGGATTGCAATAACACTTTCAATGTAGCAAGTACTATGGAGATAACGGAGTTATATAAAATATGGACTGTTGAAAAATATGCAGTTGAAAAGGTTAATAATAGGACCCATGGAGGGGAAAGTGGGAAGTCCAGCGATTCTGAGGAATTTCCAAATGTGTATGTGAATGGTTGTATTGTTATAATTTTATATTTGTAAAATCATATAAAAATTATTTCAAAAAAGAAAGGGTGGAGCAGTCCTATTGAAGGGCAAGGATCTAATGCACCATTTTGTTGCATTTCCCACTTGTGTGTCTTCTTGCCAACATACCACTCCAACAGTGAGGCTACATCATACATTTCTTTTGATGGGATTTAGCACCATTGTCACTAGATGATGTCTACCATTTCTTCACTGCTTGGAATGCAAGCCTCATTTATTGGTTGGCTGGAAAGGGCCCCCAAGAGACCACCTTTCTATTGTCATCTGTCCATCAGTCCTGGATTGCTGGAGCCATAGTAGCAGATGGAGTTCCAGTGTTGACTGACAGAGTTGGGGAGAGGATAGAATTAGGAAAGAAAAAGATGCTTAAATTTAACCATTAACGATGGCGAAGTCCTTTTGCAGAAACAGACCAAGTTGATTAGATTACTTTTGAAAAAGGAGCCTGCAGAGATTATTAGCTTTGCTGGGGGGGGGGGGGAGAGGCACGTAATGTGCTCTGCAGGAGGAGCCCACAGGACAACAGGGAGGTTGTTTAGTGGGAATGCAGTTAAACACAGCATCTGTATTTGAGCAGGGTGAACCAATGTTGATTTAAATGGCCTGCTGTCTCTTAGAACACAGAATGGTATCAGATAAGATCGCATTGCCTTCTCTGCACTGCAATACAGCTGATAGGACCTAATCTGAACCAGGGTTCTTGACAGTATAAGCCCGGAGGCGGAACTCTGAGACGGAAACATCTAAAGCAAGCAAGAGTACCTTTGAGAACGTACAGCCTGCATTTTCATCACTCTAGATCAGTGTTTCCCAATCTTGGGCCTCCAGCTGTTTTTGGACTACAACTCCCATCATCCCTAGCTAGCAAGACCAGTGGTCAGGGATGATGGGAATTGTAGTTCAAAAACAGCTGGAGGCCCAAGGTTGGGAAACACTGCTCTAGATCATGGGTAGGCAAACTAAGGCCCAGGGGCCGGATCCGGCCCAATCACCTTCTAAATCCAGCCTGCGGATGGTCCGGGAATCAGCGTGTTTTTACATGAGTAGAATGTGTCCTTTTATTTAAAATGCACCTCTGGGTTATTTGTGGGACATAGGAATTCGTTCACCCCCAAAAAATAGTCCAGCCCCCCACAAGGTCTGAGGGACAGTGGACCAGACCCCTGCTGATAAATTTGCTGACCCCTTCTCTAGATAGCTACAACTATTCTACATATTCTTGAGCAGTAAGGTATTTTGGGGTAAAGGGGGCAACCTACATGGATTACTAAGCAAGCCAACAGCTGTGCCTACATTTCTGGCCAACACCCTTGTTTCTGCATACTGTAGAGGCATCTATGTGCTAGAGACACATCACCATCCTTGAGCTAGAAGGAGGTGAGGCTCTGGGAGTGACTGACCTGAAAAGTGCTACAGCTGTGAGGTATGTAAAAGTAACCACAATGTGTTTTGTTTTTGCAATTCATCTAGATTTTAAATCTTGCTTCTCACCCCAATATCTTAACAGGCACCCCAATTTTATATATTTTTTAGACTGGGGAAGGTAAGCCACCCCAACAAGATGAAAGTGTTCTACTTCCGTTCTTTTCTAACCCACCTGCAATTGTGTTAATGGATGCCACGTGGCAGTGTGATCACCACTCGTGCCAAGAGGAATTGTTGGACGCAGGCCATTCTGCAAGCGGCAGTGCTGCACTGATATTTTACTCCTCCATTGCATTTCCAGCTCAGCTATAATGTAATGTGCGGATGGGCTTGTTGTGACATTCAAGTGGAGTCATCGCCCAGGAACAAGGCTGGAGAACTCTCTTTGGAACGCAAAGACACACTTTAGAGCAAATTATTTTCAGGAATTTTATTACAATTTAAAACCAGACAATGCCAGTGCATGGGATATACATTCATACAAGGATTTTTTTTCCTAATCAGAAAACAAGTCATATTTCTTATATAATACACAAAAGACATTTTAAAACAAGATCAGGGCTCCCAGAGCCATTCACAGCCTCCCACTCAAACATCCATTCAACCCTCCCATGCCAATTTGCCTCTCTTGGTTTCACAGTGAGAATGCACATCAGCTTTGGACATTATAAATACATAAAAGATGCACCTTAACTGGCCAAATAAAGAGTTCAACAAGTAATGCTACCAATAATTGTTATTTCATTCCCTCCATCATACACGGCTGTTAAAAAGCAGCTTCCATCACACATTTTGAAAATTGGAGTTAAAAGTTTATCCTTTTTTTATTTGAAGACCAAATTAATGTATGTTAAATAGACTCAAACTTATACAAATGAAAGGGGTTCTATCTGGTTTCATCAATGCAACAGTCTAGGATGTTTGGTGCTACTGTCCTAGAAAATGTGGAATGTGTTTGGAAGCAAGTTGGGTTTGCAACATAAAAGTGTTAGTAAAAATTCATTACTGGTTCCACTCAGACCTGGTAAAAAAAAATGAGCAAGAGCTCTCTTTTTAAAATGTAAGCACCAAAACAACAAGGGTTTAAAAAATGTTGAAATTATTTTCCAACTAGTTTGTAAGAAGATATTGGCTGCACCTTTTACCACTGAACTAAGGAATGTCTCAGCATTTTTTGTTCTTAATTTTGAACTTATGCAGGACAGAAGCTTTATGGGTGCAGTTTAAGTTGCAAATGGAGAAATGATAGCATTCCATCCATGTCCAAGTAGTTAAGAAGATAGTAAAACAGAAGACTACATTATATTGGGAATTGTTCTATCAGACATAATAACTGGTACTTCTGAGGTCCCACCTAGTAGGCTGAATATTTAACAAGGTGGGTTTCTTCTACATAACTTTACATGCTTCGGCTGATTATTTGCAGTAGTATATGATTAGCCTCATAAAGGGAAGGTGTTCAACAGAGAAGTTCTGAAGCTATCCTTTCTTTTCTTAGGCTTCTGAATAACCAGCATCAACATGATGTGAAAATGCCACTTCGTGTATGAAGCTTCTCCAGGGATGTATTGGGGGCAGGGGGAGCAGCATTCTAACTTGTTTAAAGTCTCCCATTTTATTTTTAAAGAAGGCTTAGATAAAGAGAGTGTTAAAAAAAGGCAGTTAAATTACAGCAACATACTGCATGCCCATATTGAAGTTAATGTTGAACGGCACATTCAGCTTCACAGTCTACTCTGATCACCCAACCAAGTCATATTAGCAAACAATGCAAGAAGCTACTAACTAAGAGTGTGGGAGATGCAGGTGGGAAGAATCTTTCCCCTTTCAGCAACCAGAATGCCAATTTTTACATTGGCAATCTGACACACACACATGCAAGCATGCATATATATACATGCTCCCCTACACTCTCACCCTCTCTCTCTCTCTCTCTCTCTCTCTCTCTCACACACACACACACACACAGTTTTCTACTTTCCCCAGATTAAGCTCAACAGCATGTCCTGTGTAATGTAACTTGAAAGGAAATTCCTGTTGTGAATTGTAAGGGAAAGATAAACTCATTACTGCCACTACTGCTTTGCGTTTCCCTCCTCCCTGCCCCCACCCGCAAAATCCTTGAACAGGGACTCCACACCCATCTGATAAGGCCCACAACAAGCAGAGGCCAATGTACAGGAGATGTGGGGCACTGGCATAAATCTGAAAAGGGGTATAGACCTAGGGTTCTCATTTTTTAATTTATAGCAGATGCCTTGAGCATCTTAAGCCACACTGAATCGAAACTTGAGTTTACAATGTGTGTTCTCTCCGAACGACGTAGAGGCTTTTGCCAAAGCAGAGGCCACTACAGGTAAGTCATTTGAAGAGCAGCATTGGGCTGATCTCATATGCAACACAAAAAAAGCAGCCTTTGCAAACTTTGCAAAGGAGAAATATCAAGATACACAAACCCAGGAATTGGCCACTCAACAGCAGAGAACTCTCTTAGTTTGCAGTCCCCGCTGGAGTAATTTCACAGTTATCAACAATTGGGAAAAGTCTGGGAAAACCCGCTTGGAAAAGTTTAGTTTTGCCATATGGGCCTTGGAACAGTTTAGAACAGGACTACTATACATTCCTGCACCAAACTATGCAGAGAAATATACCTGGACAGGATGAAGAGAGCCGATTCTCTTTGTGTAATAGTGGATGGTGCAATACTTGGCACGAGGCACAAATGGCAAGATACTGCTAGCACCAGAATCCCATTTTACCAGATCTGAAATGTCCTTAGTATGAAAGGGACCTGTTGATGGCCACAAATTCTGTCTCAGGGCAACATTTCTTCATCTTTATGTGTTCACCAAGAATAGAACAGTTTGTTTATCCCATTCCAACTTAAAAAAGAAAGCAAGATGTGCATCTTCACAAAATACCAAACATACAAGGTAAAAACTGCTATCATGCACACGTGGCAGCACTATAGTGCGTTGCTTCAGTCCAGTAAAGACGTCTGGCTGATAAAATACCCTTTCACTGTATGGTAGTAGCTTGCGGTATAACCTTCTGAATGGACACAGAGGATTCATGCGTATACACTCTGGATAGTTTTGTCTCCAGCAGGTTTCACACCCTTCCAGGGCAGCTGCCATTTAGTCCTCTTGTGTGATGAAGTTTTGAAATAGAAAGGTTAAATAAATTTTCAGAGAAGCCAAAAACAGCATCTTCATTTTAAATGATAACAAACAGGGTAGTAGTGATAAAAAATACAACCGGTCTGTTTCTTCCAATGCGTTAAGTTCTTTTTTAAAAAAGTCTGTAAAAATATTTTGCACAACCTTCTATATCCATCCATTTATGATAAAAAGTCAAATACATACATGAAATAGGGTTTTATTTCTATACAGTTATACTCGCAAGGCAATCAGTCCTCCTTGGCTGGCCTTTTTACCTCCAGATGCTCTGCTTTGCGGACATGACTGCAAGACATATAAAAATAAATGAAGTGACCCCATTATGATGGCTTAGTGTTTGATAAACCAGAATATGAAGACAGAGAGGAAGGCAGGGGTGGGGAGGGAGGAAATGCTATTCCATGCAATTGCAGATTCAAACAAAAATAGCGACAGATTCTTCATGAAAGTGTGATCAAACTGAAATGATCACACGAGAAAATTTAAGAGGTGTACCTTACTGTAATAGTATCACAAAATGGGAAAGCCCACCTAATCTGTACCACAAGCACAGAAAATTAGTTCAAGTCAACAGAGAATTTCATGATCATTTGCTCCTATATTCAAAGCAAAGTATCAGCATTCTCAGAAGCCATTCTCACCATTAAAATATGCAGAACTCTCCAAGAACAGAATACCAGCTTGAGAAAACCAACTCTGATTTAATGTAGCACAGCCAAGAAAATAGATAGAAAGGCTGTTGTGATGCTATAACTGTAAAGGATTCCTAGCTCTTTGTTGTGATAAGACTAAGATTCCATAGCCATCAAAAATAGTTATGGGGGTGGGAGGGAACTGCAAGCTATAATCAAGATAATTTAAAGCCCCAAATACTGCACCTAGATCGCTTCTGAAATATCTTGAGGATCCAGCTTTTAATTTTAACCCTCTCTATAGACTCAGTCAAGAAGGTTGCCCACAAAGTGAAGGTTGCTGGGATGAGGACCACCACCACACTCTAGTGGAACATTCCACAGGAATCATTTTTAAAAACAGAACCCACTCAAACAAATGGGACCTGCCCAGGACAAGTTAACAGGAGATAAATCTATTTGCATAGATAAAAACGTTCAAAACTGGATATTGGGCCCATCATCATTGGCCAATTAAATCACCAAACTATTATTCCATGGATTGGGTCCTAATTCCCACAAAGTGATATCTTCACCAGCATCACCATTCGAGGGTTTAAAAACTGGTCTGGAAAGACAACGTGGACATACTGCATTACTTGCCTTGCTGTGTGTCAAAGTTGCTTTGACTAAGGTCCATAGGGCCAACACGTGGAATGCACTGATTGCATTATAAAACACTAAATGTTTTGTCTGTCTGTCTGTCTGTCTGTCTGTCTGTCTCTTTCTCTCTCTCATGACACCACTTTGCAGGATGTGAGTGGAAACCTTATACTTCGTGCTGGTTTTCAGCCAGGCTGACTAAAATTACCATTTGTTTCCTTCAGAGCTAAAATAGTTCTTGGCATACACCTGTCTTGAGAGACAATGGAGTGCACCTCTGGGGGTGAAGTCAAACCACTGCAATAGCAGCACCAAAGTGACCTCCCTAGGGCACAAGTCTGGGCAGTGTGCTTGAAGATCCTGGGCTGGGGTCTGCGGGGCATTGGGGGGGGGTAGCTCCGGTGGGGGACACATCGTGCTCCTTCCAGGGTAATTTGTTCACCTTTGGTTCCCAACCTGTACTCATGTGCTCACCTGTGGCTCCTAGAAGCTGTCAACATGCAACAACAGCCATAACCCAGGAAATGGTTTCAACTGACCAGCTAAACCAGGAAGCTAAAATTGTGTCTTTTTAAAACAAGGAATGGGAACTTCTGGTCCTGATGTCATATGCGGGGAACTCGATCGCATAGCCGATCCATGCAGAATGCAGGGTGGAACTCACTGCTGGACAGCAAGTACAGACTAGCATTTTAAAATTGTACAGACCAGTTCTGGTGCACTTTGAAGCAAGATATTTCATATCCTCAGCATACGGGATTAAAATTTACATTTGTCAAATGAAACTAACAATGGTGGATGAAGAAAGGGCTGCAATTAATTCATCAGGGATAGCCAGCCACACATTCTGTAAGAGTGTATAAAAGAGAAAAGATCCCCTTGCCATCAACTCTTTAGGAATCTAAGCTGCTAACTAAAACATGAGACATTAAAGGAATTTGGCAGAGTGACCTTGGGTGAAGGACAAGCGAATTGCATATGCAGGGCTTTGTCTTTGCTAGTGAAGTTTTAAATAGGCTTGAACTAGCAAACATCCTCAGCTGAGTAAGCAATACTGCACTGTGTAGCTAAAGCAACTGCTCCGAGACAAAATGCCATCCTGCAAGCGATCAGACTGTTACTGGTGAGTGTCTATTGATCTCTCCGCCACTGCACAGTGGAGCAGTCTTGGCCCGAGCCTATTATGTCATACAGCAGGCATAACTTCCTGTTATTCTCTGCTTACTCCCACCCTCAGCTTCTCTTCCCTTCTCTTTGGTTACTGCTGGCCCCAACATGCTACAGTTTATGGGTACCCCCTGCAAAACAACCAAGCCACTAGCTGCTGATTCAAGGAGCTGGGAGAGAGGAGGAGGAGGAGCACAGAAGGCAGGAGAGAAAAACTGAGGAGTAGAAGAAGAGTTTGTAGAAACAGCCACCTCCTTGCAGATGAAAGCTGCCCCCCACTATAGCAAGATTAGGACGTCTGGAGGACTGCTTGACAAGACCAGGTTTTCAGCACACAAGAGGCTTAGGGCAGTTCAAACATACACACCCTCAGGGTTCAAGCTGGACACCAGGGGGTTCTGAAGGTTTCGTGGATTGCCGAGGAACTGCTTGGCTGTGGCTCGGGGAGGTGAATCTGCGCTGGGCTCAAGTAGATCTAGGGAAAATAATCATGGTGACAGTTCAGTTAACCAAAAGTACAACAAAATAGCCCTGAATTTTCAGGCGCAGCACTTCGATACATATTTCCTTAAGCTCCGCCTTTCTGGAGTCATACCTCCTTACATTCCTCGGGTTTCTGAACTTTGGGTATATATATGTAACTGAACTTTATGCAATGCACTGGAGTTACACCTTTGGTTTTCTTCTCCACGCCCCCCTGCCCCATTTGTAGCATAATCAGTACATTGTAAGTACACACATTGCTCCCAATTCCTTAACCAGAATTAAGAGGTCAGGAGATGGCCATGTGATTCAAGTTCCCTCTCCTGTCCAGTACAAATAGGATGTTGAACCTGGTTTTGTATGGTAATGAATCTGAACATATGCAACTAAGCATTGCTTCCCTGTTTATCCCTCCCTCCCTTTCCTCTGTGATGAATTTCAGATTGCAAGCTGCTCAGGGCAGATACCTTCTCTCTTATGCTCTGTACAAACAAGCAACAACAACCAATGTGTGCATAAACTCACGCTACAGCATTGCCATGGCCTGCTTCTACTGATTTGGCTGGCTGTGCAGGCATGGAAACACTGTTTGCCACACAACTAAACAACAGACTGTTGTCTCTCCCACCCCAACCCCCATTATGGTAAACTTTAAAGCTGCTTAATTGGTATGTGGCAATATGCTTTCTTCTGGCAAAGGATCTCAGATCAGTGGTTCCCAACATGTGTCCTGTGCTGCCACTTCTGACCCACATTCGCAGTTGGTATCTCTGCTATTTCATCCCAATTCAGCTTTCTCGAGCTGGATAAATCACTGTATCGATTGTGGAGTACTAGTGGACCCAACTTCTGTGACCAGGCAGGCAGGAAGGCACCAGCATTTGCCATTGATTGATTTTGTGGAAGGCCACACCTTATGCCGACACCGCATCAGTGTGAAAAACCAGTAATAATTGTGTATTGGTGCAAAAAGAAAAAAAACACACACCCAAGCCTGTTCCATACATGCACGCTGTCAACTTCAAGATTTTTCTTGGAAACTAGAAAAATTTATACCTGAGGTGGTGCTGCATTGTGCAGGTTATGCCAAGACAGACCCAGGGAACTACACTGCTGCAATTGCTGCCCACATTCCACAGCAAGAGCTTCAGCCACAAAACAATGAGCTGTGTTCAGCTAAATCTTACTCGGAATAGACCCACTGAAATTAATGAACCTAAGTTGATAATATCTATTAGATTCAATGAGTCTGCCTTGAGGAGGGCAAGTGTTGAATATCACCCAGTTAGTTTCTCATTTAGGCTGGCCTATATGCAGTGGCTGCAAAGTTAAGGGAGGGCTAACATATCTTCAAAGACTAGGCTAGCTAGCTAAAATACCATAGGATGCTGGGCTTTTAGAATGCCAGATCTCAGTAGAACCCCTCTCTCTGCCCATGAAAGCTTACATCACAGTAAATCTGTAGTATTTAAGATGTCACAATACTCTGTGTTGTTTTCCCCCTGAAGCTGGGATAGGCAACTAGCAGAACAGACCTCTAGTCCAGACCATTTCCCGGAGGCTGCCCACCCAGATACTATGTTAAAGGAAATATTCTTGAATAAGTGGGAAGGGGACCACATTTCAGTTGCCACCATCACTGCTGTAGTTGTGGACCTTTATAGTGCTTAACTGCTTGATGCTACCTTACCAACACAAGGCAAAACCTATATAATGCTTTTAGACATCTACCCTGTTTAAGCTGTGTTGCACTTCTGGTAATATGTGGGAATCCAGAGTTTAACATGGAGCAAGTTCAACAATCAGAAATTGACTTTTTCCTTTCTTAAATAGTTGTGCTAAATGTTCCACTTAGAACTTCCAATTTTTCTTCACATTTCATTTTTAGGTATATTTTCAAAGGAAGCTGTACCTAGCACAGTGTTTGGATGCAAGATCCATACAGCAAAGTTCAAGCAGATGTCCAGTAAGCTATCCACCTTCTCCCCCCCAACTGCTATTCCCTGCTACTGCAGTATAGATTTATGGAAAAGTTTGTATCTGCTGTCCATTTGTTTCTCCAGCCAGATAATTTTAAAGGGAGGCTTCAAAGAAAGCCACACCAATGCATTTCCATGGGCTGCTGATGTCACAGCATGTTTCCATGTTTGCTGATGTCACAACTAGAGGCCAGAAAACTGGGGATATTGCCATTCCCTACCAGCTTACATGAGAGGAAGCACAGTAGGAGGCCTTAACTCAAGTGAGGTCTCCTGCCTCCCCTCTCCCCCCAACTTTGCCCACCCTTTGAGTTGTGTTCCAACCTCCGGTTCTCTGGTGAGCCAGCAGCTCAGAGCTGGTTTCATCCAGCTGGGGTTCCGCTTCTGATCTGGGCTGTGGGGAAGTCACCATGGCTCCTGTCTGCTGGATGAACTGCTGCAAGTTACACTGCCTCAGCTCCTTATTTAGCTCCTCCAGCTCTTGGTTCTGGGCCTGCAAGATATAGGAGGAACAGGCAGAGTGAACTTATCTTCATCTGAGATATGAAGCTGCAGAAGAAAGGCTTCTGATCCCGCCCCAGCCTCCTCCAACTCGCTTCTCTCTGCTTCTTGACCATTCGCAGAAATCTACCAGAAACTACATGAGCTGACAGGAATAATAGGGTAGGTGGCCAGATATTCATTCCTAGATGCTTACACATTCCAAAAGCTTCTTTATCATGAAGTCAGTATCTGCTGGCAATCTGGTGGGGGTCTGTGTGGTGGGTGTTGGGGGTGCAACTGAAGATCTATCCATCAGTTCTAGACAACTTGCTAGCAAAGTATCTAACTCCATACAATCTCAAGCACACCCCTACCCCACTTTTGCATTGCTCAGGTGGCCCATTTTCCTCTTTGCTAACAGAATGACAATACAGTGGTGCCCCGCAAGACGAATGCCTCGCAAGATGAAAAACCCGCAAGACGAAAGGGTTTTCCGTCGCGGAGGCGCTTCGCAAGACCAAGTTCCCTATGGGCTTGCTTCGCAAGACGAAAACGTCTTGCGAGTCTCGCCATTCCCCCCCCCCGCTTCCCCCCCCTTATTCAAAGCCGCTAAGCCGTTAATAGCCTTTTAACAGCTTAGCCGCTAAGCCGCTAAATCGCTAATAGCGCTAATCCGCTTAGCTGCCAATGGGGTTGCTTCACAAGACGAAAAAACCGCTAGACGAAGAGAATCGCAGAACGGATTCTTTTCGTCTTGCGAGGCACCACTGTATTTTCTTTTCCTTCTGAATGTGGCTGAAGATGGAGACTGAAACATGAGAGCAAGATAACCCATGTATTCTGACCGTGCTATAAAGACTGAGGATAGACTGTGAAAAGCACAGACCTGCAGACAAACAATCCATCTGATTCTCGTAATGGCTCTTGTATGTTACGATAGTCTATTTATTTAGCTGTCAAGACAGTGAGCGTGCTGCTTAATTGCTCCCACTTCATTGTGCCCTGCCTGCAGCCAGGAGAAACAAACCCACGGATGTGCATGGGACTATTATTATTCTCACAGTTTGGAATTATTTTAATGGGTCCCCCACAAACCCATGCACAATCATGTCCTTATAATTAGAGTCTGACAGAGGCAAAAGAAAGAAAGGGGGGAAAGTACAGTACAGTACAGTACACAGCATTTCCTCTACTTGGCCATAAGATGGCACCAAAGTCTAGTCAACAATTAAACAAGAACCAGGAGAAGACTCAGGACGATTACTGCTGCTTACTTTTGCTTAAAGCAAAGAACAGAAAAGAAGCAACAGCTGCCTGTGTTTTGAAGATGCACATAATTAACATGCTGCTATAACACCTTCAAACACAGATTTCTAATAGCTAAATTAAACTAGAAGCAAACACGAGGATACAGTACTTTGCTTTCCCCGGCAATGTTCCTGAGCAAAATCGCAGTTCTGAGCCTCCCTCCTCCAAAGGCAAATAATTCTGCTTGTGTTGCTGCTGCTGCTGCAACGGAAGTGACTAAGCTGGGTGAAACACACCTGATGTATTGAATGACATGCCTGCAGTGCAAGCAGGGAAAATCAGAGAAGTGATTCATGCAGGGATACAGCAGGCTGGCTCTGCTGTGGGTGGGTGCTTTGGGCTCCCAGACGATTACCGTATTTTTCGCCCTATAGGACGCACCGGCCCATAGGACGCACCTAGTTTTTTTTTTGGGGGGGGGGGGGGAAATCAAGGGGGAAAAAATTTATTCCCCCCCCCCCCGGTTTGCGCAGCCATCCCCAAGCTAGAAAAGGGAGATGGAGCGCTCCGTCTCCCTCTTCTGCCTTCAGGAACAGCCTCTCTAGCCTCCATGGGGCAGCGGCTTGCCAGCCGGCAGCCTCCAGATCAGGTCGGGGAATAGCGGGGTGGCAGCGCTCCGCCTCCCCGCTATTCCGCGAGCTTGTGGGGCTGGCGGGGGGGGGGGGAGAGAAGCAAGCTTGCTTCTCCCCCCCCCCCGCCAGCCTCCAGATCAGGTCGGGGAATAGCGGGGTGGCGGCGCTGCGCCTCCCCGCTGTCCCCTGAACTTTTGGGCTGCAGGCTGCTGCCCGCAAGCCTTGCGAGCCCGCAGGACCTCCTGCTGGGCTTGCAAGGCTTGCGGATAGCTTCCTGAAGCCTGGAGAGCGAGAGGGGTCGGTGCGCACCGACCCCTCTCGCTCTCCAGGCTTCAGCGAAAGCCTGCACTCGCCTCATAGGACACACACACATTTCGCCTTCATTTTTGGAGGGGGAAAAGTGTGTCTTATAGGGCGAAAAATACGGTAATTTTTATTTCATTTTTTTTTTTTGCCACACATTAGTGTGCTTGGTGCACAGCTTGCATACCCTCTATCATTTCTCTAATGAAAATAAGGATGTCCCACTCCATAATGATAAATTCTACTATTTATACCCCATACATCTCACTGGGTTGCCCCCAGCTGCTCTGGGTGGCTTCCAACATATATAAAAACAAAATAAAACATTAAACATTAAAAAAACCCCTTCCCAATATGGGATTGCCTTCAGACAGCTCAGGGGTTGTATAACTCCATACCCTCCAACCTTTCTCCAATGAAAATAGGGACGTCCTAAGGAAAAGCAGGACATTCCGGGATCAAATCAGAAATTGGGACGGCTTCTCTAAATCAGCGACGTCCCTAGAAAATAGGGACACTTGGAGGGTATGGAGTTTGGGGATTACTCTACAAATACAGTGGTTGCTGGTTTGATGTTGGCAAACAAGTAGCCTTTACCATTATTTAATGGCTTTATTTCTACATTTGTTCCAAAGCAATGTTCCCTTTACTGTAGGATGCTTTCAGGGTTAGATTACATGCAAATGACCATTTTGCACACTCAAAGTGTGCACACACACATGCCCACAAATAGAATTCCTATGTAAACCAACACATCACAGTACTATGCCTGAAGGACTGCACACCTCATAATCAGGTTCAACTCATGTCTGGAAGAGTTGCAGTATAACTTTATTAGGCCCATTCTATCCATTCAGGCACAGAACAGCTTTAATTCCTTTGGGTTTGATGATCTTGCAAGATGCTAATCTCCCTGGTTCCATCCCAGCTAAACCACATAATAATCCTCATGGGAAGAGTCCTCAACTAAGTTCAACAGAAACAACCAAGAGCTTAGTGCCCCGTCTCAGAACATACAACATTGTGCAAGATCATTTCCATTTGGTTGATGTAACAGCTACACATTCTACTGCCACCTGCCAGGTTTATAACTCAATAGATTCCAGAACTCACCTCATCTACTGCTAAACGCCTGGAAGGGTAGAATTCTAAGGAAGCCCAAGGCTGCAAAGGAGACCCCAACACAGTTTTCCTGTAGAATTTTGTCTTATGGGGATGTACTTTTTTTTTTTTGCAACTAGACCTAGAATCCTAGTCTAACAGATATACTATTAGCTGCATCCTTATTCTGCGCCCAAGTAATTTAAATTGCAAAATAAGTAAAAATAATGTTCAATTGCATTCTGAAAAACATTTAGAGGCCTAAAAACATGGGTATGCAATCATGCATCATGGAAGGCAAGCACCCATCCAGGGATCCCCTCAGCAAAGAACATGATTGTGAAGTGCATACCTGAAGGCTCTGCTCTGCTTCCTCCAAGGCCTTCCCCACAGTTTCCAAGCTGCTCTCCAGGTGGGCACTCTGCTTGGCCTTAGCTTCCAGGTCCCTTTTCATTTTAGCTGCCATTTCCTCTAGTTCAGTAGGGCTCTGCCTCGGGGCTTCCTTTGCCCTCTTGGCCCTCTCGGAAATCTCCCACTGAATTTCTCTCTCCAAGGCCTCCGTTTTCACCATAAGCTCATGTATTTTTTGCGTGTACTCCTCCATGGTGGCCCGCAGGGTGTGGACTTTCTCCTGGCGCTCCCTTTCGCACTCCTTCTCTGAGCGCAGTTCACTCTGCCAAAACCCTTCCTCACCCAGCTCACTCTCGTTTTGCCGAATCAGCTGCTCCAGGTGCAGGATCTCGTCCTCCTGGCAGCAGCCTCTGTTGAGTTCCCAGTGCCGGAGGTCCATTTCCAAGGCATCCCCCTGCATCTCCAGGGAGTAGAGATGCTCCTGTTGGTGCAGTATGGTCTTGAACAGTTCCTCTTTGGAAAGCAGGCCCCCACTAGCACCTTCCCTCCAGCCCACGCTGTCCTTCTTGTGTTGCTTCAGCTTGTTCTTGGCATGCAGGTCACTGGAGGCCATAGGGCCCAGGTTGAAGGTTAAGGATTTTTTGGGCTGCCTGGGCCTGGGCACTTCTGTGCCGACCGGCCTGGGTTTGATGGGCAGGCTAGCCCTGACAAACGTCCTCTCGGGTACCTGGGGAGCACTGTCTGAAGAAGGTCTCTCGGTGAGGCTGGGGCCTGTGCGCTGCAATATGAATTGCACGTCATTGGCATACTGTCCGCACTTGGCCATGGACTCCACAGGGCATTCATGTGGGAGAAGCTGCCTCTCTTTCTCACGTAGTCTTTGGATGAGAACATAGCGACCTGTTTGACCTGAGAAGAGGGACAGGCATAAGTGGGGAGCATTTCTTCACTACAGAAACACCAATAACCCTTCCTGCCCTGTTCCAACTGCATCACGCTCACATTCCACCCTAATATCCCTCTCACAAGTACAAGTCCATTACACCAGAAGGCTGGATTTTTTGGGGTGGGTGGACGCTGATCTTTTATGAAAATTGATAGATCTGTCAACAAATTAAACAATAGGCAGTCTTGCCAGTGACCCTCAGCCCACACAGCTCTCATTCCAAGTTGGGCCACATGTTTTTAGCTCAACATTTGACATGGAAATTCCATCCTTGAGAACTAGGTTTACCCTACTGCTCCATCAGAAAGCAGTTCTGGTTTAGAAGGTGGCTTGGACATTCACACCAATTTATCTTCTTATAACTCAAGGTTAGGCATGAACTTAATCATTTACACCTCAATGTTTACACCCACTAGGGGAGGAAATAGGAAGCATTCCAAATGCAGCAGTTCCACCTCCCTTTGTACCCTGAGCTAGGATTTGAGCTTCATTTCCACACATGACAAGCTAGCAACATGCTTAAACCTCTTGCTAAAATAGACTCCTTTGGGAGTGATGGGGAAGATGTGCCTTTTGGGGAGTGTGGGCAGAATTCGGCTAAGTGGCCGAGCCTCACTTCTTCACTCTGGAGGGTTGGAGAAAACCCCAGAACAGTGGGAAGGGGGAACAGGTGCTATGTGAATGGACCTCTTTCCCCATTTCATAGCCCTTTTACCGCAACACTGAATCCCATACCCTGTGTTGATCACCTTTCAAAAATCATGAAATAACCAGTTCCACAAGTCCTCCTCTTTGACCCTGTCAATAGGTCCGCAGACAAGGAAGCAATTAGCTTTCTCCTGGCAGCTGACAGGCTGATGACACCAGGTGGCTGGAAAACTTCTTCAGACTTTTCCTTGGACAATTGGTGCAGCCCAATTTAGTGCTTAGCGCTATCTGAGAAGTTAACCCATGCTGTCAGGTAGGCAAAGGGTCAGTCTCAACCAGAGGTGTTTTGACACTGTTTGGTTCCTACTCATAGCATTTATTAATCCGTTGAGGGAATGTAACCACCAAATTCTCAGAAGGGTTTTTGGAGAGATGCTTTATGTTGAGGAGCATCATATCTGTGGATTCTATCTAGTTGGAACTCCCTGGCCATCCTTGCTCAGGGTATTTGCAAATAATTCAATGTGAGACCTTTAACTGTTTATTTGACTGTTAGCTTTGTCATTTGTTATACATTTTTTTAGGAGAACCAGAAAGGGTTCTTTATCTTCTCCCACACTTGCTATATTGCCTCCCAAGGCCTCCTCTCCTCTCCACAATCTGACATTTTAATGCACACACTTAGTATCTGGAATGACTTTGGAAGATTTATTTCAAATTCCATTAACATTTTTTCTGGCTGCAGTTCTTGGCAGCATTTTCATGCAGGAACCTAAACCCTTTTAGGCAAAGTTATCATTAGCAAGATTTTGTGAGCTCCAACAGCTTCCAGTAGTGAGTCAATAAGCTGCTAGCCCACAAGGTTTTTGCCTTAAAAGCCCTGATGATTCCTTACCAGCTCATGGAGTACTTACATAAGCTGAAACTGAAACCCTATCTTGCAGAGTCAGGACACAAGTACCCCTAAATCTAGTTAAAGGGCAAAAGTGGAGGCTAATACAAGCTTCACTTGCTGTTCCTAGCACATTTCCGCATCACAAAACACAGCGTAAGCCTGAGTACTGATCTGCCCAGAAAACAGTTAAGGGGAAAACAAACACGCAGGCTCTGAGTCATCCTTGTATGTTGCAAATGTAAATCAAGGTTGTGCTCTGACCATGTGAAATGCAGTATGACTGTTGAACGTGGGAGGTGGCAAACAATACCCAAGCCTCTTGTATACGGCAGAAGGCTTCATGAACAAACACCAGAGCTGCCCAATCACTACTTTAGTGCATCACTCATTATCTACTCGGGAAAATGTGTTATGGGAATTGAAAGCCAGTTGTCTCACAAATGACTTTAAAAGGCATATGAGGATAAATGAAATGCAGAACATTCTACTATGCAGAAATAGCAGCCCAACTATAATTTGAGGGAAAGGGGCATCAGATAGCATTTGTCCTCACTAGCAACTTGCACACACACTCACTCACACACACATTTCATAAATTCCTCAGGCACATGCAGAACATTTCAGGAAACGGCAGAGATTTCTCTTCTTTGCACTGAGTTACAGGGAAAGTTAAGAAAGAGCAGGAATTTGCAAGGGAGTACCCATATGAGAGACTGGCTCTTTAAATCTCCCCCCAACTCATTTCCCCCTTCCATATATCCTCTGACAGTTTTTATTTGTTGTATGCTCCTGCAGTGCAACCCCACCCCCTGAATTAGAAGTAAGTGCCAGGGGTCAGCAACCTTTTTCAGCCATGGGCTGGTCCACTGTCCCTCAGACCTTGTGGTGGGCCAGACTATATTTTTTTTGGGGGGGGGGAATGAACGAATTCCTATGTCCCACAAATAACCCAGAGATGCATTTTAAATAAAAGGAGACATTCTACTCCTGTAAAAACACGCTGATTCCCGGACCGTCCGTGGGCCGGATTGAGAAGGTGATTGGGACGCATCTGGCCCCTGGGCCTTAGGTTGCCTACCACTGAGTAAGCCCATTTCAGGTGGAGGCTGCTTAGGAGGAACTGGTAGTGGAGAAGTGGCCAGAAGGGGTAAGCTACTCTTAATCAACCCCCTCACCATCCAAAAGCCTCTTCTACACCTGCATTAGTTCAGCAAATGTGGTTTTGGAAGTGCGAGTTTGCTGAACAAGGTATAAGCAGTGACAATATGAAGCGCTTTAATAGCTTCATTAGTGATTGTAGTGGAGCCAGCTGTCTGTCCCTATTTCCCCCTTACCCCAGTGCAAACTTGTATCCTATCCCCCTTTACCTGTATTTCTTCCTCCCCTCATCCACCAAGCCCACTAGCTTCCCCAAATTAACCCAAGAGTGCTTAGAAGTAAAAAAATATATGCAAAAATACAAGAGGGAAGGGGTGAGTGGGGGAAATGGAGGGAAGGTATTTTTTCAGTTGTAGCAACAGCATAAATCTGGGAAACAAGCCTACCTGTATGCCCAGACACACAAATGATTTTCACACAAAGCTTTGTAATATCCCTTCTATAAAAAAAAATAAAAAATGAACGCGATGCCAAAAAAGGTAGCTTTTAGATGCCAAAAAAGGTACTTTTAGACCAAGCAAGTGTAACGGTTACTTACCAATGGCACGTGCCAATGCTATGACAACCTCCTGGCATGTGGTCTGTTCGGAGACACCGCATACAACCCGCTGGACACCATCCACCCAGACCTTTAGCTCCATCACCAAAACAGTGGATTAAACTTTCTGGATCATTGCAGTAGGTCTTCCCTGCAGAGATGTTTTAAAGAAAGAGGAGTTTAAGCTTGCCGTCTGATTTCATTTTCACATACAGATTGTTTCAAGAGCAAAAATGCTAATTGGCTGACATTCAAGGAAGTTCTGAGGTGTCTATACCTCTTCTTCCCACCCTTCCAATTTCTAGCCCATCTGCTCCAACAGACGGTTCTAGGTTTTCTTAGAAAAAGCTTCTGGCTCAAAAAGAAATTGCAAACAATTCCCCCCCCCTTTTTTTCAGTTTCACAGCTTCCTAGATCTTCTATCCCATCTCTCCAAAATAAAATACGACAATTAGGACAATTCAGAATGCAGATGTGACATTTCACCACTCCAGATAGGTCAGCAATAGCCCCCTGCTAATCACGAACTTCAGAAACCAATAAATTTATGTAGCTAACTACAGTTTATCCTGTTCATGTTTCTGCTTGAGTTCCCAAAGACTGTATGGGGTAGCTTGCATGAATGAAGGGTAACAGAAGTCTAAAGCATAGTTCTGTTTTATAATAGGGTTGCCATATTTCAAAAAGTGAAAATCTGGACACAAATGTTGTTGAGCTTAGCATTGCAACAACAATCCTAACACATTGCCTAGATGTAGCCAACCAGCATGAGAGAACTTAGATGAGATCAGAGATGGTGCTCATTTTAAGACTGTGCGGGACATAAGAGGGTAGAACTGCTACCAGAGCATCCATAAGAAATCATACAAACATATGCATATAGTGAATTCGCCTTCTATCTGCTTTAGCTAATATTCAGATAAGCAAAGTCTGCAATCATATGATAAGCCGCAGCATATAAAGCAGTGAAGTCATACAGTTTGAATCATATGAATAGAAATACAGATCTGCATTAGGCCAGGTGTCATTAATGGACTAAAACAGGTTCCTGGAGATAATAGGTTAGGCTAACCGGCTAAGAGATTAGTGAAAATTGCTTTGCCCTTTTCAAAAATTGCCTGACTGAAGTGGTATGCTGCACACACATTAATCAGCTGCTGTTCCTTCTACTTCTCACTTCATCAACATGATGAGGTCCTTTTCAGAGTTATTCAAGATACATCACTTAAGTCTTTAGAGAAGCATAGTTCTGTTTATCAGGATTCTGGATAAATCAGAGGATAACTACATTTACTGTTGTAATTCTGACATGAAACTTAAATGGAGATGAATATTAACATTTGGGTAAGTCAGAGAACAAGCTATTTTATTTTAAAAGCATTTTGGAAATTGTATGTTTGTATGTTTAACCCAAAGTCTCTGCAAGTCACTTTTCCTCATTTTTTAGTGGTGTGCAACAAGCCTGAAGAACGCAGCTGGCAATGCTTCAGCAGCCCAGATACCAGAGAACAAGAATGCTGCAAGTTAAATATTAAACAGCGCTAATCTGGTGTTAATCAGCTGCCTACCAGAACTATGAAAAGAATGAAGGGTTGTGGCTTACTGGCTGGATATCAGCCTCTTGGATTCCAGCCCTTCTTACAAAGTCACCTTTGGCCGACAATGCCACACCTGAAAAATGTTCTTTTCTCCCAGCCAGAGTGAAGTGCAAAAGTACATCACCCGGAAAAAGGAAAAGAAAAGAACACCCACCCCATAATATTGCCACAACATGCCAAAGGGCAGGTTAGTTTTGACATTGTTAGTGGTGCGTTTCAGATTTCTCAACTCACACGTAAGATTTACATGGAGTTCTCCCTATAGTGCGAAGAGAAAAACATTAACCATTTCAGGCAGAATCATAGCATAGCACTGTAGAGTTGGAAGGGACCCTGAGGATCATCTAGTCAAACCCCCTGCAATGCAGGAATATGCAGCTGGTCCATACAGGGATCGAACCTGCAACCTGGCGCTGTTGTACAGAACAGTAGAACAAAAGAATATGAGAAAAGGAGGATCAACCATAACTTTTTTTTTCAGCCCAGCACAACCCCATTTCATACATACATTCTCATGAGTCATGAAAATAAAACTTCTTATTTTAATTTTAAGATTACACCACAACCCACGCTGGGGCTCTTCTCTTACCTTGACACAAGAATCTCTGGGACTGCTAATTGTTGAGAGCTTGTCACCTTTTGCTGCATGGGGCAGGCGGGGGGGGGGGACGATGACGACGACTCCCTGATAGTCCACATTCAGAACTCAATGAGTCTGGCAATTGAATATGACTTCAACACTAGTAATATACAGTGCCCTCTACCATACTTGAAGGCAGAGACCTAACTTTGGTAGGGCAAAGGGGAAGTTGCATGGCACACAGTCCTGTTTTCCTAGCACCTCATTGCTGTTCCCCAGCATGTTGTCTGAGGTGATTGCCTCACTCTACCTAATAAGAGGGTTGGCCCCAAGCAAAGATTCAGTGCAGTGGGACACCCAGCAATGAACCTCAGCCCACCAGGGTCTGGCTTGGCTATCTGCTTCTACAGCAATGGGCATGGGTAGGTAGGGTCAGGTAGGGCCGCTAGATCCAAGCCATGAGACATCACTGTGTCTCAGTGATTTGGCGCTCCACCACTGGACCACAGAACATGTGCTCAGCACCTGCTACTATCATCAAACTGAAAACTCTAAAATTATAGCCCATCCACATTGGCAACAAATTGCTAGAGAGTTTCAAGCAAAACATGAAGCAGGCATATGTTCTCACATCTCAGTTTTCCACAAATATGTAAACTAAACATTTCAGGAATGTTCTGTTTTTAAAAGTGTAATGCTTATATGCAGTAATTATTGAACTAATTTTTTTTTTTTTTTTTGGTAGAGATTTCCAGTATAAACACATCCCTGCCAACATTTCACAGATGAAAACTTCTGCATATTAAAGGGTGGGGCTAGGGGCTAAGTCCAGCAGTGTGGCTGGGAGACAAATGGTACATGCAAACTCCAGATGACAAAAGCAGCAAGGCAAGCCAGATACAACGAGGCAAGAAAAAAGGCACGTATACTGTACTGCATTTATACTATTTAGATAGGACATACAAGTAGGCTCCATTTCCCCTGTCTTCCCCGTTCCACACCCCTGCAAGCTTCAGCTGCCATTCTGACTGGCTCATCTTTTCTAACAGTTGCTATTTCATTCTCTGTCCCTCCACCTCTTCCAGGTGCAGGTATTTTCCAATCTCAGCAGGCCAGGAGAACAAAACAGACACATCTAATCTGCATTTAGTGCTGCACCTTTGAGTAGAAAGTATCAGATGAAAAGGGCGGAAATCATTTTAATATAAAGGAATACATTTTATGTCAGTTTCTCTGCCTGCATCCGTAAAAAAAAAAAGTGAAAATAAATTATGATTTCTCAACAAGAATGTTTTAGTCACTAATGGGGATTTCCATTCAATCCAATTGCCTTTGATGAAGGGTATATATATATATATATATATATATGCTTTCGTAGATTTTCACGGGTACAGGAATGCAGGTTTTGGTGTCCTCGGGTGTCTTCCCGTGTAAAAGTTGGGGTGTCTAGGCGACGTTTCGACGAGGTCTCACTCGTCATCTTCAGGCTGGTGCTTTCGGCTTCTTGTTACTGGAACAGAGCAGGATCTCAGTGTTTGAGTTCCTATAAATACTGTTGAGGGGGTGTGGTGTATAGCCTCCAATGTTCTGGGCAGAGAGGAAGTTCCCAGGTTAGTGTGCCTTTTCTTCTTTTGTTCCTTAATTACTTGAGGGATATCTTGAGTGATTTCTTGAGTGATATCCTGAGTACCACTTAGGTGGGTCATTAGGTGTGGATTAGTTGCTAAAGCCTTCGTGTCTTGACCTCTTGAACTTTGTGAAGAGTTTTTCTGAGAAGATGGCTGTACTGCAATTAGTTGTGCTCTGGCTTGGCTTCGTGTATAGGGGCGAGCTGTGGTTTTGTGTCCTGTGCCAGCCAGATCTGTGTAGGGATTGCAGGGGGGTGCAGCATCCGGAGGTGCCACCATGGTTTGGCTACTGGATGGTGTCTGTAATTTATCTGTGGAGAGGGTCTGGGTTTGGGTCTGGTGTGGTTGATTGGTGATGGCGTTCTGTGTGCCTCTGGATCTGGTGTCGGTTTTTGTGGGGAGGGCTAATTTCCAGATGTCTGGCAGGCGGGATGTGTCGTCACGCTTGTTCATGTTGTGAGGGTGTTTCTCTATCTCGATGGCTTCCATGATTATTCTCTTGTGGTGATGTTCCATGTTAGAGAGCAATTTGGAATCTGCAAAATTAATTTCGTGTCCTGTTTCTTTCATGTGTTGGAAAAGAGAGGAAGTTTTTTCTTCTTTTTTGACGGCATTCTTGTGTTCTGCGATACGTGCATTTATTCGTCTGTTTGTTTGTCCAATGTACGTGGCTGGGCAGACTTTGCAGGGTATTTCATAGACCCCTTGGTTTTCCAACTGGATTTTATCCTTGGGGTTTCTGAGGATATTGGCTATTTTTTGGTTGGTGCAAAAGGCTGTTTTGATATTGTGTTTATGGAGGATTTTGCTAATTTTATCTGTAGTGCCCTTGATATAAGGAAGGAGGGCCATGCCATTGTTTTCTTCTGTGTCTTGGTTTTTGGGGGGTGTTTCTTTTTGGATTAGCTTCGTAACCCTGTTTTGCTGGTATCCATTGGCGATTAACACATTGGAGAGATTCTGTAACTCAGTTGTCAAGTGGTCTTTGTCAGCCAGGCGTTTGGTTCTGGAGATGAGAGTCTTGGCTACGGAGTTTATTTGTGCAGGGTGGTGGTGTGATTGTGCATGTAAGTAGCGGTTGGTGTGTGTTTTTTTCCGGTAGATAGTGTGTCCTAGGGAGCCATCAGGTTTTTTGTAGATTAGGACGTCAAGGAAGGGAAGTTGGTTGTTGGCTTCTATTTCCATAGTGAATTGTATTTTGGGGTGTAGGCTGTTGAGATGTGTGAGGAAGCTATCTAGTTTTTCCTTCCCGTGTGGCCAAATTACAAAGGTGTCGTCAACATATCTGAGCCAAAGTTTGGGTTTGTGTTCTGACTTGTCTAAAGCATTGGTTTCAAAGTGTTCC